GTGTGTGTGTGTGTGTGTGTGTGTGTGTGTGTGTGTGTGTGGTTCTAATCCAACAGCAGGAAGTAAGGGTCAATTAAAAAGTCAGCACATTGTGTCTCCAGAGACCCTAAAAATAACAAAAGAAAGACCAATGGTTTTCTTGTTTGTTTCAATTATTCTCAATTCTGTATTTGTTCTTCAACTTTATTGTCTCCCTCTCTCACACACAGGCAAAATATTTCTGTTCATACTGTACATTCAAAGCAGCACTGCAGCTATTTCCCCTCTGTGTTACTGCTGGCTGGACTGTGCAGGATCCAGGTGGAGGTTTTGCCGTTTGTCAGAGTTTATCTGTGCAGCATCTCAGGAAGCAGGAGGGAGAAACCAACCAGCTCGTTCTAGCTATTTTCTCCTTGTTTGATTATTTGATTAACTTCTCGCTGCGTCACAACATCAGATTATTTTTTCCTCTCTTTTTTCCAGTTTAGTGTAATTTATCTACTCACACAAAATTCCCTCCAAAAAAGGCCACTTGGATTTGTGGCCGCCGTGATACGAATCTCCCCACTCGTAAAATCATTTTATGATTGAACAGAGCGATGCTCGTTTAATCTGAATCTGGATTGAAGCAGACTAAACATAATAACACATGAGTAACTTGAATTTGGTAGTAAAAATGAGTAATTGTGCCGTCAGCGTGCGTGAAGAATGATGAATATGATAAAGTCAATCAACGTGGATAACATCAGCAGATGAAATGACTAAAACCATGAAAATACAACATCGGTGAAACGGAGGATTAGTCAGCACTTGTGAAAAATGAGTCAACTGTCAGCCTTCAGCAGTCAAAACAAACACATTTAAGCCAAATTGAAACAGCTGTCAAGGGGTTTTCAAACCTTTTGAATTTAATTTTTAGTCCAGTGTGTCTGGCTGTTGTCTGTTTTGAAGCATAGTTAACAGATTTAATTTAAATCTTGAGTCAAGAAACAAGTGATAAGTGTTTGTTCTGGATCCACTGTGTTTTTTTTAAACGACAGATATTTGACATATTTGGACATGTTCATATTTTCTCATGAACTGTTGCACTAAGTTGGTTGAAAGAAAATGGACACATATCTTCCATGATTCTCTGTGAATATTATGCTACAGATCTGGATCCACAAGCAGATGATCATTTTCTAAACAACTTTTGTTAAAATTAATGTAGAGGATTGTCTAACCTTCTGTGCTTTCTGGTTGTTGGTAATCTCTCATTGACCATCAATTGTGGTCATTATAATTGGCTCTTCTGGATCTGAGTCACATAAAAACCTTCTCACATGCTGCATTTCTAGATCAAAGACCTTTTACATTGGCTATGCAGTCCAATCCAATACTTATAGACACGTAAATGTTGATAAATATGTATCACACAATGAAATAACAGCTGTAGCTACTTAATCTGATGTTTAAAGAGGTCATATTATGCTTTTAGGCTTTTTCCCTCTCCTTTATTGAGTTATATACCTTCTTTGTGCATGTAATAGGTTTGCAAAATGAAAAAGCCCAAAGTCCAGCCCAAAGGGAGTTCCTATCTCCCACAGAAAACACTGCTCTGAACTACCTGAACAGCTCGATTGTAGTCTAGCGCGTCATAATGCTTGCAACTAGTCAGACTCGCCCTCAAAAACACCGGTGTAAAAACACTGCAGCACACACCTCCTCTCCCTTCCAAACACTAGCTACCCTCCAGGCAGTCAGTGGACATAAAGTTGTTACTGTGATGTAGAGACAGAGCTCAGTTAAAACTTTATGGATGAAAGATACTTTTGTTACAGATTAATAACTCACCGATCTGAAACTCTTGCTCCAGTCTATGTTGCCAAGCTGGTCGGCAACATGTAGCCTACAGCTGAATCGAAGCTGTTTACCAGCTTCTCGCTGACCCGCCCTTCTCTGCTTCTGATTGGCTAGTAGTCTTTAACTAGGAACTGCGCATGTGCAACTCCCGACACAGTTCTTGTAGAGGCAAGATGTATCACTCCATAGCTAAAACAAAGCGTTCAACACAGGGTGAAAACAGGAGCTGCAGCAATGTGCAGAATGACAAAAAATATGTAGTGGATGTTTTTTGAAAATGAATCCATGTAAACCTGTTCTGGTATAACCCCTAAATACTATTAGGAACCTGAAATGAGCCTAATACCACCTCGTAAGGAAACGGCTAACACAAGACAACACCCTGGGCAACAGAACTAGCCTCAGCCCTGACCAGATCTGTAAATTACTCGACCTCTGTCTTAACACCACTTAGGGTGTCTGTAGGCTCACCAGTATCCCCAATTGTGGTGAACGTCTACATGGAAGAAGTGGAGAACAAAGCCCTCAACTCCTTCAGAGGAACAGCACCGAGCCACTGGTACAGATATGTGGACGACACCTGGGTCAAAATTAAAAGCCAGGAAGTGCAAGCCTTCACAGAACACATCAACTCTGTGGACAGTAATATCAAGTTCACACGAGAAGATGTTCACAACAAAAGTTTGGCCTTCCTGGACTGCGCTGTACACATTGAAGAGGACAGGAGCCTGCAGTTTGGTGTTTACAGAAAACCCACACACACAGACCAATACCTACTGTTCAATTCCCACCACCCACTGGAGCACAAGCTAGGGGTCATGAGAACACTGCACCACAGAGCGGAAAACATACCAACAAGCGCCCAAGCCAGAGAGAAGGAACAGAACCACCTGAAGGGGGCACTTACAGCCTGTGGATACCCTAAATGGACCTTTGTGAAAACAGCCACAAGATCCAAGAAGAACAAAACTACAGGGGAGGAAAAGAAGGTCAAACGCAACAACATTGTGATTCCATACGTGTCTCGAGTATCAGAGAAACTCAGGAGGATTTTCAACAAACATAACATCCCTGTGTTTTTTAAACCCAAGAACACACTAAGACAGATGCTGGTACACCCCAAAGACCGCACATCCAAACACAAGAAAAGCAATCTAGTGTATGCGGTCCAATGCAGTGAGGAATGCACAGACCTGTAAATTGGGGAGACTAAACAACCACTACACAAACGCATGGCTCAACACAGAAGGGCCAACTCCTCAGGTCAAGACTCTGCAGTCTACTTACATCTGAAGGACAGAGGACACTCGTTTGAGGACCACCAGGTGCACATTTTAGACAGAGAAGATGGATGGTTTGAAAGAGGTGTCAAGGAAGCATCTACACCAGGGTCGAGAAGCCGTCATTGAACAGGGGAGGGGGTCTACGCCACCACTTATCCCCCACTTACAATGCGGTCCTTTCATCACTTCCCAGGAAACTCAACAAACGTAACCTATTGGCCTCAGGTGAAGATACCAACGATGGTCGTTCAGTCTTGGCCACAGGTAGTCTTAACGACTGTAACGACTGTCGTCACAGCAACAAGGAACACTAACGAACCAGCGGTATCGATGACCCGGGCCAACGACCCCACTGAGGTTAAATAGCTGAGTTTCCCTGCCAGTCAGTCAGAACTGAAGAAGTCCTTTGGATGAGGGACGAAACGTCTTCCAGTATCTTCAACCAAGTCCAGTTGCTGTTGACTTTAACCTTTGTTAGACACCTATTTAAAGTGGTGATATCGTGCTCCTTTTCAGGTGGGAGATGGAAACTCCCTTTGGGCTGGACTTTGGGATTTTTCTCTTTGCAAACCTATTACATCCATAAAAAGGTATATAACTCAATAAAGGAGAGAGAAAAAGCCTTTAAGTTATTTTTCACAAGCTACTTGATCCGAATATTGAAGGTCCTGAGTCAAAAATATTGTCATTAATAAGCTTGAATCATTGATATGGTATGAATTACAGTATAACTGGTTAAATGTGAAGTTTAAGATTAATTTTGGTCTGCGAAACAGTTAATTAGTGACAGCTGAAATGAGCTGCTGCTGAATGTTTTGCACAATTCTGCCCTTTGCTAATGATAATGAGCATCAGAGCATCCATGAATTTGGTCAGCCTCATTATCTGAAGTCAGAGTCACTCACCTGGTTTGTCCAAATAATAATAATTATCACCTTCACATGCTCCAGTTTTCACACTCATATTTAGCTGAATGCTGCACTGGGGAGCTGGCTGGTAAAGGAGAGTGGCGCTGCAACACAGTTTGATCGTCTTCATTTTAGCTGACACATTAAAATATGCCTGGATCAGCCCCAACATCTCTAATAGTAATTGATTTTACTGATTGTCTCCTTCACAAAATTGCCAACATTTGAGATTTCTAACTTTTATGAAAACGCTATACTTTTAAATTTTCATATGTAAGCATGGACAGAACAAACTGAGGACACAGGGATGATTTTGGCATCTCAGTTCTCATCACATGAATAAATAAAGTGACGCATTGCCCCCAGAACTTGTGTGAAACTGAAAATGAGTGTGATGATTGGATAGAGTTTTGTTTTGGGATTCATTAAAGAAAGTCTCAAATGTGATCTGGGCGTTGTGGCTCAAACTTCCCCTCCCAGGGAATCATCAAATGGCCTCATTTGTAACTGGCCTTCCCACTGGGACCAATCTGTTTGTTGGTCCAGTGGTATATTTATCAACTCCCTGTGCTTCTCAGTGGCACTGATATCCTGAAGACGTGGAGCCTGAGGGGTGAATAGATGGCTGGATGGATAGATTATTTATTTGTGTCGGGTTAAAGGTCACAGCATGGCACTGTCAGTTGGCATTGGTTGATATTCCCAGAGAAGGAGTGACCTGCGTCTTTATATATCAGACCTTTTGACGTGTTTGATTTGTTGAATTTGATGCACTGAATGGGTGGGTTTAGTGCTCAGAGTGCAGTATTTCTATACTGAGCTTATGGAAGGACTCAACACAACTCACCTCCTTACATTTGATCAATGGTATCAGTCGAAAAAAGTTGACCTTGTCTTTTGTTGGTTCTGTGTTTCCCTTTCTGTCTTGTTTCCATCTTCCTTTCTTTGCAGACAGTTTTACTATTGTATTTATCTTTCTCGTCCTCAGCTGGAGAACATCGTTAAGAAGAGCATGAAGCCAGACATCGCTAATATACCGTCACACGTCGTTCACAACCAAACGGCCACCATGCTGGAGATCGGAACAAACCTCCTCACGCACACAGCGGAGCAGACGCGCAAACTCAACGTGGTCGAAGCCAAGGTAATGAGTTGGCAAGTCACAGGTCTCGACACTCGAAAAACAGATTTCCTGGATTTAACGGCGTGTCTTCCACCAGGTGCTGAACCACACGTCTCGAATAGAGATCCAGCTTCTGGAGAATTCTCTGTCCACCAACAAGCTGGAGAAAGAGCTGTTACTGCAGACCTCCGAGATCAGTCGGCTACAAGACAAGAACAGGTAGAAAAGTTTCTGCTTCAGTCTGAATGTGCCTAGCCAGAGCCCTGCTGGATCTGGGACTCTCGATAAGGCTTTAAAGAGAGATTAATGACTGAAAGCTAAGGATAAAACACATTTATTAAGCGACTTTCTCCTTCTCAAAGTAAAATAAAAAAGCCATTTATCTTTGCCGTACTGTTCAGTCAGGGATATGTTATTCTAAAAAAGTTTTTATGTGTGTAAAATCTTTAACATCTACATAAAAAAAATTGTGAAAATATTAATATAAATATTTATGTTTATATGAATAGCGATTAAATATGAAGTTGCAAATACTGCTCTTATATTTGGGGGTTGAGGAGTCGACAGTTGGATAATCAGCCGGACACCATGACTTGCTGCATTTCACTCCCCATCTCTCACCTCATTTCCTGTTATCTGTCTACTGAAGGCATTCAAACTGCCCACATATTTATATTTAAGAAAGATGACCAATGATACAGGTATATTGTGTAGTCTGTCCAAAACATGTCTCAGGTATGTCTCTGTATTGCAGCCAGAGTACTATTAACAAACTGATAACACATCTCTCTAAAATTCAATGCCATTTTTAAGTTAAAACAATGTGATGAATAGGTTCGCTTGTTAAAAATCCCCTAGACTTGTTTAAACATATAAAACATATACAATTACCCAGCTTTAAAGAATAATTTGTATCTGATGTGTTTTTCCACAAACATGTTCAATTATCTACAAAAAAAATGTTGAAATTACCTCTTCTCCTTCTCCCTTGCCTCCTCTGACCCAAATATGAGGCACAAGAGCCTTATCAGCGATTTCACAACTTAACAGTGAGAATATCTGAAATATAAGCAAGTCATTAGAGATGATGGAAATACGTCCACAGATGTTGCTACAGGACAAGCCAATATTTGGAATCACAATATTTTCCCTATTTTTCATTGTGAGGTGAACTTGGACGGTGCGACGTGCGTTAAAACATGCAGAGTAATCATCAAGCGTGTTCTCTGTTTACAGTATCAGATATAATACAAACAGAGAGGCTGAAACAGAGTGTGGGTGTGTCCGTGTGAGAGGGAAACAGTATTTTATGTCCGTGGATACAAACTCGCCTCGTTAATCTTCTTTAGAAAATACATGTCTTCATAAACAGCAGTACAGTGGATTTCAGGGGACATTTTAGCCTCACGTCATTCACACCAATCTGACCTGTGAAGGGTTTTGCAGTGAGTCTTTGTTTGTCTCAAACAGCTTATGCACTGACTGAACAGATGTTGTAGATATTTGTTATTTTCCTACAAACATCTCTCCTTTTCTTCTCATCCCTTCATGTTTACTCAGTGAGAGTTTTTCACTCAAGTTAGCTCAATTTGTGCAGATACACATCTTTACTTTTTTTTCAACCTGTCCTGCCCCCGCAGCCTGGTAGGCAGTATGAGGAGCTGTTGTTCCAGACAGATTTTACTTTAACAAAAGAGTTTTAATAAACTCCTTTGTCTGTTTTATTAATTTATTTAATAATGTATTGATTGGTCACCGGACTGGACAGGGGGGCAGAAATGGGGAGAGGGTTCACAAACACCACAGAGAAACACCTGCAAGAGAATGGGAGTGGGGGGTGGGGACAACAGGAAACAGCAGAGGAAAACACCAATTGCAGAAAACAACAAAACCTGAAAGTGAACAAACAAACATACAAAAACAAAGAGACAACCAGCCGAACTACATCAGTAAACAGCTGACATAAGAAACAACTGAGGGAGAATGAAGAAAAAGATGATGTCAAGCAAAATAAAGAAACAACACAACACAGCCATGAGAACTAGAATAATAACAATAAATTCATATCGCCTACATCCAATAAGCATCTGTTCAATTCGAGTCTTGTCTTTGAGTTTCTACAAAATCAAGCCGCCTCTAAAATTTCATTCATATTCACTGTTCACACCTTTTCAACAAGGTGGGCGTGGACTGAACAAAGCATGTGACTTGGAGAGAGGAGGCCACAATTCACATTTTGTCTTGTACCAACAGTTATTATGGTTTCTTTTAACCGTGACCATATGGAAGATTTTATTGGACTTTAATATTTATAACCCATAGAAAACAATCCACAGATGTTTACTATGATGTACGAGTATTTCACTATCTACAAATGTGTATTTTTACATTTGTGATGTTTAAATTAATATCCACAAAAATATAGAGTGACTTCTACACAAAAAAAGGTTTTTGCCCATTTGCAGATTGCTTTCTGTCAATTTGTGGGTCACGTTACATATGTGACTTCCTTTTTATGCATTTAGGGAATTTTGTCTGTACCACAGAGATCTGTAAACAGAGATCTGTAAATGTGAGAGCAGTTTATTAGCTACACCAGCAGGTGGCGGTAGCGACATTGCCCTCCATAAGAATATCCACTGCAGTACCCAGGGTCATCTGTAGCAGGCTTCTGCTGGACCACTGGACTCTACTCAGTCTAAACTTTTCTGTACAAGTGTACATAGTTTACTATTGAATATTTTATAACTGTATTTGTTTTACATTTATTTTTAAATAAATATGAGCAGTAAAACTGTAAAAGTATATGAAAAGCAGATAAGTCCACTCAGGAATACTGCATTTCAATTAAGTTATAAGTTCATTTGACGTGAAATAATTAAAAACCGTACTTTTTTTCGTATACTTGACAAGGCTCTCCATCTGCATGTTCAGATTGTTCAGTCATATTTCACTAAAACGTGACACAGTTTATATCGGTTTGATGGTCTGACTTTCCCAAAAGCAGGAAAGTTCATCAAGCTCATGAGCAGACTTGTGCAAAGAAAAGAACAACAGTCTAGGGTTTTTTTGGGTGACGAAGCATTCTTGAGATGATCCTGTGTGTTTTTAGAGGTCTCTAAAAAGCCTTATAGGAAGGAAATTGTTCTCAAGCAAGAAGCATTTAATCCTTTACTTTACCTGAAGATGTTTGCTGCTGTTCAGAGAGCTGGTTCTGATTATTTTGTGGACACTACACCACAATTTGATTTGGAACAGAACCAATAAACTGTTGTTACAATAAAAGTGACTAAAAGATTGTGCAGATAAGGGCTGCTAGAGTGTCTGATTTTCACTTAAGAATGAGAAACAGTTGAGGTTGTGTGTGAAAATAGCTTTATTAAACACGTGGGATTAATCGTTTCTTGGTTTTTCGTTTCCTTTCGGTTCCCTCCTGTAGTTTCACAACATTTAATCGCTGTGTTCAAATAGAAAAAGCCTTTTTGGAAAGAGACAGAGAGGTTTTTATGACTTTCTTTTCTGTTTTTTGGTTTCAGATTTAAACAATAACAGGTTGATTTGTAATATCCAAATACCATGAAACACACACGCTCTCAACATTTTCAGGTGGCATACAAACAGCAAAATCTTTATACACACACACACACACACACACACAGTCTGCATGTAGTTGAGGACATGTGCAAACTCATTAATCTGCACACATGCACACACACACACACTGACCTCTTCACACACACACATGCTGTACAAACCGCAGCAATCACTGACTCCCCATCAGTCTACATCACACCAAATGATGTTGCCTAGTTCATATGCAGGTCAGCATATTGAAGTGATCAGAACCAGGAGCTGATAATGAGTTTCAGCTCTTAATATGACCAAAGTATCACCCGCTAATGTAAAATGATATCACACCTAGGTGTAAAAGAGCCGCATGATGCAGCTGCACATTAGAGAATGAGGTTGGTGTCAGCTTCACTTCAGCAGAAACTGGATTTCAGGTTGTACAGTTCGGTTAGAAAAGCTACTGACATTAATATTAACAGATCTCACGTTACATCTCTCTGTGTGTTAATGCACTGATATTCACATGAACTGAACTACAGGAGGATAATGGAGCCTAACATCCACCTTTCTATTCTGTAAAATTACCGAAAGATTAGATGATGAATGTTTGAATGTATGAATGTAGAAAAATGTTTGGTTGATTTTAAATATCTGTGGCATAAAAGTACATTTCTACTGTAGGCTATAGATATCAACAATAAAAATACTGAGATGAAGGACAAATAACTTTTTGTTTTTGTTTTATTGAAATGTTATTGAAACGTCTTAAATGCTAACAGCGTGGCTCTACGGAAAGCAATGTCGGCCACCTCTTTGGTCCAAACTAAAATATGGGATGGGTTGCCATGAATTCTTTGGTAATCCTCTGACTTTCACCCCCATCATTAGGTCAACATTTTAATTCGTAATATGTTTGGTTTATGAAACACAGCCTCAACTGTACTTAGTGTTTACTGCAAACACGAGCACGCTCACATTCTAAACTATGATGCTAATTTGGAAAACATTATACCTACTTGTTATACCTCCTAAACATGAGCAATGTCAGCTTGAGCATCCTAACGTTAGCATTTAGCTCAAAGCACAGCTGTGCCTAAGTATAACCTCACAAGCATGGCTATAGACTTGTAGTCTTGTTTTACTCTGGTGCAGCACCAGAAGCTCATTTCAATTTCAGCACAATTTTCTGAGCTGAGCTTGTCTAGTTGCTCCAGAGGTGTGCGACCTCTGACATGTATAGCAATTGTAAGTCGCTTTGGATAAAAGCGTCAGCTAAATGAATAAATGTAAATAGGTTCCTGGATTACTGTCAACCTATTAAAGTATTAAAATTTGTGTTTTTATGCAGCAGGAAAAATCAGTGGAAATCACACTGCTCCTTAGAAACAGATACTCCATACGTAGGTAATGAGATATAAAAAAAGGAAATAAAAGTATTTTCCTGATAATTGCCACCCTCAGGTGAAGTGTATTTAACACTTTTTCATCAAGTTTTTTCATTAATTTAAAACACACACACACAGATTGTTAATTATTCTGGGAAACATTAAAGAAGAAAATAATTTTTCCCACCTGACTCCTGCAGACCCGCTCCACACTTTATGTTCAGGGCTTTGCACTCAGAGCCAGAAAAGTGAGTGTGAACTGAACATTCTGCCACATTAAGTGTCCCACAGTTTCCTCTGAAGCCGCTGCCACTCCTTCATCAGGTTACACTCATTTGGCTCCTACGTTGTTGATGTAACTGTGGGCTGGAGTCTATTTTCAGCAGCTGCACTGCTGGTTCAGCTGCAGAGATAACGTGAACTGTAGTCCGCTCTGGCAGAAAGAATGACGGTCAGGTTATTAATCTTTATTTCGCTCTAAGAAGAGGGAGTAACTCAGGAGTTACAACCTCTGGTCCATATCAGGCAGATTATTTGTACAAATAGTTTGGATTTGTGTCCTCCTTCTGACATAGACACAAACTTCATGTAAAACGCTCTAATGTTAATATGGCACATTCCAGGAGTTATTTAGTGATGATGGCACACAGTAATTTACTTTTAGATAAACCTGCTTTCCCTCATTTGCCAGAATGCCTTTATCCGTCTGCTATGAAAGCATCCGTCTATCTTGTATGTTTGCATGTGGGTAAATCAGTGTAGGATGTTTCACAAGGTTAGACTGCTTGTCAGTCTGAAGTTAATGTAAAAAAAGTGTGTTTTGCTGCCCTCTGGTTGAAAGTTTTAAGCCTGCTTCAACTGTGTGAAGTGTGCCCTGTTGCACCTGTAAACACACCCAGCAGTGATGTCACGGTGCCCTGGAGTACACCTGTACGTCACTGCAGCATGTTGAGAAGTTAAACCACTTGAGGGCAGCAAAGACAAGATTAACTTAGTTATTGACCACGTGTTTATTATTATTACTGTCACTGGTTTCTATAACCATAGCAAAGTTGTCTTTTTTACCAGAACTACAAGGTTTCCTTAAACCTAACCAAGTCATTTTTGTGCCTTAACCTAATCAAACTTTTGTCATTTTGTCGTCACAGATTTCTTTTTCTGATTTAGTTTTTGAAGGCACAGACAAATGGTGTTTGGATACGTGCGTCAAAACAACTTATTTTGTCTTTAATTTGTGGAACTTGTTGGTTTAATAATTAAAACATCAATCTAGACTGCTAACAGCTAACAAGAAAGAGGTATACAGGTGAATTTAAAGTAAAAAAGAAAACAGCGGAAAACAGCTCAAGTGAATCTGCTGTGGATCAAGTGTCTGATGTTCTGCCTTTATTCTTTTTGTCTGTCTTTCAGTCGTTTGGAGCGTAAAGTTCAGATGCTGGAGTCTCAGCAAAAAGGAGAGCTGAAGGACATGAGGGAGGAGAAGAACAGACTGCAGGTACAGTCAATATAAATCTGTATGTTTTACAGTGGAGCAGCATCTTCAGTGTCTGTTTGGACAGGTGTCTGTGTGTGTATTTACTATATTATTATTATATAAATATTAACTGTGTACTATAAATATTGTCGGGACATTTTTATGTGAATCATCCAGCATGTGTTTTAAATTTATGAGGTCAGGCTATCAGTGTACAAGATAAAGACCAACTGCCTGACCTCATAAATGTAAATTGTACAGGTCTAAATGTGCAGAAGATTTATTTGACTGTTTCTCCTTATTCAAACTACTTTAGTCTCAGCTGGCTGATATAAATATAAAAAATATAAATCAAACAAAACATCAAATCTATAATTGCAAAGTGAGACGCATAAAATATTAAAAGTCAGAAGCCGGAAAGAATAATCAAAACTCAGCTTTCACAGATGGAGGAACAAACTAAAGACACAGATCTGCTATAGATTTGATGCATGACAGAATAAAGTCCTTTTCTTCCAGTCTGTCATCAGGACTCAGATGACGGCCATCGAGTCTTTGGAGAGGCAGCTGAGAGTCGCCAGCAGCAACAACACCGCTCTGCAGAGGCAGCAGGCTCACCTGATGGACTCTGTCCACACGCTCATCAACATGGTGGCTACTACTACAGGTACACACACACACAGAAGAAGCCATGTGCATGTTTGGACAAGTCAATCTAAAAATCAGAGCTTCGTGTTTTCTTTGCAGTTTGTATGTTAGTTTCTTCTGTGCATGTATTCATTTTAATGTAAAACACTTTGATATCCTCTTAATGAAATTAAAAACTATTCCTTTTTCCTTTATCTATGAATTTGCTTTCTTACGAATACATTATTTCTGTGTGTGTGTGTGTGTGTGTGTGTGTTTAGGGTCACCTCCTAGGGCCCAGATGTGGAGAGACTGTGCAGAGGCTTACAAGGCCGGACACTCCGTCAGTGGTCTGTATCACATCTACATCAGCAACAGGACTGAACCTGTGCAGGTATGACCAACTACTGAACTGCAGCCAGTTTTCCAACATTGCCTGGTTTCTCCAGACATTACAGTCACGTTTTATTCAACACGTTGACCCTCAGTCTGTAATGAGATGTGACTTATATCTATTTCATTTTACATAACTTCTGTGTGTCGGAGATACCCCAGTGTGTTTCTAATGTCCTATATAAAGTTTGCTATAAATACCAAACTGATAACAGTTTCAAGCTGATTTTGGCCTGATTTAAATGATCTGCCCACACGGATAAGTGTTTGGAAAATGAATGACTTCCTTTTCCTTCTCATTAAGGTGTACTGTGACATGGAGACGAGTGGTGGAGGCTGGACGGTGTTCCAGCGTCGATTTAACGGCAGCGTGGACTTCCAGAGGAGCTGGAGGGAATATAAAATGGTCCGTTTGTCTCAGGAGAGCCATGAATCAACATGAAGGTTTGCATAACAAGTGTAGAGTAAAATCTGCTCACACTGCACCTCCTCCCCTCCTGCAGGGTTTCGGGGACGTGTTAGGAGAGCACTGGCTGGGTAATGAAGCCTTGTACCTGCTGACCGCTCAGGGTCAGTACTCGCTTAGAGTGGAGCTGAGGGACTGGGAGGGAAGCCCCGCCTACTCCCAGTACGACCGATTTACACTGGCCAATGAGAAACAGCAGTACAGGTAACTGCATTACACGCACACACACTCACACACACACTCACATATACTGTACACACTGATGTCACCAAACACCAGTGGTGGAGAGTATTGGATTATATTTACTCAAGTATGGTAGAGGTATTTCCATTTTCTGCTACTTTATACTTTTACTACTTTGCAAATTCAAATTTTACTTACCAAAAATATATTCAGTTCATAAAATATGATTATTTATTATTAAAGAATAAACTACCCAACAGTAGACAATCCTTCATAATAATAGTTGAAATTAACCTCAATTAGCCGAAACATTGAAATGCAACTTACATCAGTAATAATAATAATAATCCTATAATATAATTTATACAGAATGATATATTATAACATATAATTCTAAAAAGGTATAAATACTAATTTGAATGCAGGACTTACTTGTAATCTTGGTACTTAGGGTTGCAAATATTATTGCAACAATAATCTGCACGTACTTGTTTTGAATAATGGATTGTTTGGTCTATAAAACAATGGAAAGGGATGAGATATATCCAAAAGCCCAAAAATATTCAGTTTAGTTTCACATAAGAGAAATAAATTCAGCAAATTCTCAAAACTGAGAAGCTGGAAACAGAAGCATTTGTTGAAATTCTCTTTACATCCCGACAGTAATCAATAAATCAATTGCTCTGACACAAAAATTAAAAAGATCCAGTATCTCTGGCTTTTGCAGGACTTTAATCATTTAATTCTGAAAGGATTGGCTGGCTTATCTTCCTACCTTTTACCAACCTACATACCTAATGGTTCTTAAACACGAATAATACATATCTACACGTATTACACAGCAGTGACCTCGTGAATTTGTCTTTGAGTTTAGCGCTCTTATAGCACAGGGTACAAAACCTTTTCCAAGGCATGCTTTTTGTAGAATAGCTGTATCTACGGCCTGAGGGGAGTCGGGTGAAGCATGACTTGAAAGGGTACCTACCTACCTGCCAACCTGTCTACCTGCGCGCATTCACTGCACATAAACATGTGTTCTGGATGAAGGACTGAAGGGAGGGGATGGGATTTTAGGGTTACGAATACTTTAAAATCTGTCTCTTGCAAGTTCCTTCAATGTTGCCTACCCCAGCTTTAAATATTATGAAGAGTATTGATTATCAAAATTATTGCAGAAGTAAATTCTTTTGACCGACTAATCGGTAATTTGACTAATCATTGCAGCTCTCCTGGTATTGATATGTTTACACATGCAGGCATAAGACATGAGTTAACATGATTGACATACAGGTAGTTACATCACTCCCACATCTACATGCACATGCTGTGTCCACACTTCATCAGCGAGCCCGTCACTCATGGTGTGTCCTCTCACTCAGGTTGTATCTGAGAGGTTACAGCGGTACAGCAGGGAGGCAGAGCAGCCTGATCACCCATGGGGCCGGTTTCAGCACCCGAGACCAGGACAACGACAACTGTGACCACTGCAAATGTGCCCTGATGCTCACTGGAGGTAACGTCTCTCCTGTCCTCTCCTGTCCTCTGGACTCCAGGTCAAGTACATTTTAAAAGCCAATTCATCAAATAAAGCAGTTACCGATTTGGAAATGTTAATTCTCTGGAGGCGTGAACTTAAGAGAAACACATTCTCTAGTAAATAAGGTATTCACGTGTTAGTTCATAGGGTGGCTGATAACAGTTTGGTTTGTTAACAGCATATTAAACAGCCATTAAATAATATCTCATTGTCATCAATCACAGCAAATTCACAACTCCAAAAATACATATTTTGTTGTTGAAGGATCAAAACAAACGGTATTTTCCCAAAAGCTCTGGCCTTTCAAACATCTGTCTCCGTCACCCTTCAGTGTATAACCCTTCAACTTGTGTCAACGCCAAGACAAACAGCTCTTTAGTTCGCCTCAGCCTCCCCTCGATGGGCTGCGATTGCCGATTAAGTTAATCGTTCCTGCAAAATCTCGAGCTCTCCGAGGGAAAGACTCCAACGGTCACCATTAGTCAAAGAGTCATTTAGAAATCACAGCAATTTACAGAGAAAGATAAAGTAAAAAAGAAAGAGTAACTAAGATGAAGAAGAAACAATAGCGGGAGAAAGGAATGAACAAAGAGGGAATAAAAGATCAGGAGAGAGAACAAAAGCGAGGGGGGGGGGTTGTGGTAATTTGGCTGTTTGATAGAAAAAAAAGGTAGACAAGAAAAAAGACAGAAAGTCTAACAATGAAAACTGCAAACCTGAACCTTCCTTTCTTTTCTCTCATCCTGCCATTTATCAATTTATCTGTCCCTTTTCCACCTCTTTCCTCCCTCTTTCTTTGCTCCCTCACTCTTTTTCTTCCCTCCTCATCTCTCACTCTCTCTCTCTCTCCATCAGGTTGGTGGTTTGATGCTTGTGGTTTCTCCAACCTAAACGGTATTTACTACTCTGTTGGCCACAACATCAGGAAGCTCAACGGCATCAAGTGGCACCACTTCCGAGGCCCCAGCTACTCCTTGCGCTCCACCTCCATGATGGTACGACCCTATGACTTCTAACAACATCCCGTCCACCTCCATGATGGTACGACCCACAGGCTTATAACCCTCCGGTATCATGACGGTACAACCCTGTGGCTCCCAACATCCCTTCAAAATGCCTTCCTGATGATGTGTTACACCCCTCGGCTCCCGCAACATGATGGAATGACCCGACAGCTTCGACCAACGCCTGGTGGCTCCACCATGGTACAACCCTGACTACAGCCATAATGTTAAAACCCATGCGAGTCATGAGCACCCCTCTGCCCCACGTTCATCCTTTTGGAAGTCTTGGAGGATTTCACTACCAACCTTGGATCCACAAGGGTCTAGAAAACAACTTGCAAACATGCAAAATTGCTAGTCTGGCACTTCTGGAGAAAAGTTCAGTGTCTGATCAAATCGCCAACCCCACTGACCCACTGTACCTCCTCAGCCACAGCTGTTGTGATGTTCCAAACTGCCACACTAGAAGGAGAAGTAAAAGACCGGCCATCATAGAGAGGATGGAGATAATTGTTTAAGTATGGGGATAACGGCACACATTTTCAGGCACTCTCTCCTGAAAGACATTCATTGTGTTGCGCTTGTTTGTACATACAAAGAAATAACAAAAACAGAATGACAAAAGAGATCTTGAGAGAGAGGTTCAAGGCCAAATCAGCCGGCCAATCCCTGCATCAAGTCACTGTGAATGTCGGCTTCACAAAGTCAAACAAAATTGACGGATGCAACTGCCCAAATCCGATGTTGGAGAGGTGTCAGGGGCTGGGGTTTCTGAAGCTGTTTAACAATCCATCAAGCACCTCTGATAGGGAATACTGGCAGCTCCATCTCTTGGATGTAAAATGGTCCACAAACAACGGTATGATTCAGAAAACCTGTGCAGTTAGTGGCCATGCAGGGAGAACATTCCTCTTCCTCCAGTGAGAATCAGGGGCTGGTTCTTCTTCTTTGACCAACAGTTTGGGTGAGTGGGTTTCACTGAAAAAAAATTACACCTTGGTCCCTCTGTTGGCAGAAGATCATATCATCCTGTCATCCATCGCATTAAAGCCTCTCTTTCATCTATGATGACACTGTAGGAATCAAAGACTCACATGGGCAAATGTGATGGACATTTAGCAGACAAACACAGAAGTTGTGTTTATATTATTATTATATGTTCATATTAATCAACATTTTTACAGAAGTGGAAGGTGAAAGCAGTTCAGCCTTAAAAGGAATAGAAAAAAGAATCTGATGTCGAATCCACACTGAGGATCGATCTGAGGATGAGCAACGATGTTTTCTTCTTCAAACTCAAAGGATCTTGAGACACAAAGATGATTGTGGTAAATAGATGTTTGAGATGCCTTAACAATCAAATGGACAAACGTCCCCTTATTGTGTATTCTGTTATCAAAAGCACAGACAGACTTTTACATAATAAAGGGAAACTGGTGAACAACTGAAGGACGGGCAGTTGGAGAGACATAGGACAATATGGTTTAATTGTTTTTCAGGAGAAGAAATGATAACAGCTGACTGAATTTGTGATAAGTTATCACATTTGTACCTTATGCCAGAAGTTGGACACGGCAATACTTTAAATCATGATCGATACACTAAGGACTGCGCTGCATTTCTAAACATTGATGAAAGAAAGGAAGGAAGAAATGTTCAGAAAGGAAAGTAACACACAAAAAAGTCCACATTTACCTCTATTGAGTTCTTTTATAAGAAACAGAATGAAAGTCTGGACAACGAGCAAAGAAAGAAAGAAGGAATAAATCCAGATTCTGAAGGAGAGAAATGTTGATTTGATTATCTTCATTATCCAAACAGTTGATTTTTGTTGGAATCTACATTTTATCTTGGCTTACAGACCCACTCTCATGGCACTCATACAGACATCTTTGCAACATATTATTCAATGGGTTAGATAGTCCCTGTTTTTATCTGAACTGTGTATTCTGTCTCAGACCATACACACACATGCACAAATAAATAATATAGATACACACCTGTTACATGCCCAGATAAATGACAGCATTTTTGTGACAGAAAGTGTAGCAGATAACTGATTTAAAGGTCCAATGTGTAACACATGACTATGTTTTCAGTGGTGTCTACAGAACTTACTTAGTAGTAGCACTAGTAGTAGTAGTAGTAGTAGTAGCACTAGTAGTAGTAGTAGTAGTAGTAGCACTAGTAGTAGTAGCACTAGTAGTAGTAGTAGTAGTAGTAGTAGTCATCTGGTTTAATAGAAGTAAGAAAATAAGTGAAATTTGAACAAATCAAAGACCACATGTATTAATTGGCACAAGAGCCAACAGAGCATGTCAACCACGGTAGTTTCTCCTACATGCTTTTCCTCCTTAAATCTTTATTGCAAAAAGAGACATGAAGTGTACATGGAGCATAAAGAAGTATACAGAACAGTATACAAATATATAAGAAATCTTTGGTATTCTATATTATATGGAGATACAAAAAGTCGGAAGGACGGCTTCACAGCTTGGGAAATGGGACGTGAATGCACCGTGAGCCTCTGGGTGCAATTTGTAACCCTCACCACTAGATGCCACTAAAACTTACACACTGAACCTTTAATAGAGGTTAGAGCTCATGTATCGTTAGCTTACTGGTACCAAAGTGTGAAAACTGGACTGGATGTGTCTGTATGTGTGTTAGTGAGTGTCAGTCTTCGATTAAACATTGTGTGATTTATTTACCTGCTTCTGAAAAATGTGTTTTATGGAATAAAGCTGAAGAACCAGGAGCACAGCACAGATATTTACTGTCTGATAACACTACAAATAATGTCAGCATAACTGCTTTTTATGTTAAAGTATTAATACGCTATTTTAGTGGCAGCAAGACCACCAGTAAAGGCAATTTATCCAATATTCTACTTCTACATGCCAGCAGAGTGCTAATTAGCATTAAAGGTGTCAGTGACAACAGTGCAGCATGCTTCATTACCATGGAATATAGACTTGCGTCTTTTAATGTATCTACAGTGTATTGTGTTGTGGCAAAAACATACTGCAAAAAACAAAGTGAAAACATATTCTACAGCCATGCTAGCAGCTCTGTGACGCTGGACACTGCTGCTTTGAGCTAAATGCTAACACCATCATGCAAAAATGCTCACAATGACAATGCAAACATGCTACATTAAGCAGAGATAATGTTTACCATCTTATTTTAGAGTGTTAGCATGCTGTGATTTGCTAATTAGCACTAAACACAAAGAAAAGCTGAGCCTACAGGAAAAGTCAGAGGGTCACAAAAGTCAGTAGGATTCATCCTCTGGGGAACACAGATGTCTTAACAAAGTTTCCTGACAATCCAGCTCATAATTGATAAGATATTAAAGTCTAGACCAAAGCGATGGACCGACCAAGAGACAGGTGTTGCCATCTATGGACTCACGCCGCTAGCATCACTTAAATCTGCACTGCCTAGTTATTTGTTTGCTATAGCAGGAAACCTGTGTACATACGGTGCAAGTAAATTACACCATTGCTCACTCTCTTATCATATCAGGTTTTCAGTGGAATATATTTTTCTATGGAGCAATATGTTGCTCACACTGCTACACAAAGAAACATAATTAACAGGTTCCTCTTCGGAGTTGAGACAACAACCTTTGGACGATAATCTCTAACATGTGTGGTAGTTAAAATGAAAAAAGTTGCCTGTATGAGGCTTTCATGTGGCAACAGTGATCGATTATTATCCTGCAGCATTCTCCTTACAAAAGCTGTCAACACAGTTTTGTATATGAAGCCTATAAACATCTTTGCTGGTTCTTTGTCAGAATAAAGAAGTCTGTACTTCACCTTTTTAAAATGCACTTTATGGAAAGAAAGTGGTGAAGTTTACAACAGGTGGAGTGTAATAATCTTTGCTCTCATTGTTACAGTGTCTTTTTGTTGTTCTGTGTTTTTTAGATACTGCAAACATTAACAAATTTCACGTCTTAATGTTTAAACTTTTGTTCAGTCTCTGTGCATGTGTCTCAAAGCTTGTCCACTCAAATGTAAACAGTCTGCAGTATTTTGTCCAATAAAATATGTTAATGAAGCCATTCTCAAATGATCTTTTCAGAAATATTTATTCATGGTTTTGTCTTGTGTGTATAATATTTGGAGACTGCATTTTCCATTACATCATAAACATGTTTTTATTGTGTGTCAAACTGAATGGGATTGATCTGTTGTACCACGTTCACTGGAAGAAAAAATATATCTTGTCCAAAATTTTTACATTATGTAAAATTTAACTTAACTTCATATGCATTTTATTGCAATAATTCAAACTACAAAACGCAATTTAAACAACCAGAGAGAGAACAAGTCAGTTCAGTGTAGCTCTACCTCCTTCTTGTGGAAGCACTGTGGTAGTAACACATTCATGGCCAGGTCAACATCAAAAGGAGACTTCAATCTCAAGGGACTTCCTGATTAAATAAACGTTAAATAAATAAAAAACACAATTATTTGTCCTAATTCTGTCCCATATATAAGCCTATGATATAGGCCCATTGTTGGTCCTGGATCAGGGCTGATCAATTTCAAATTGGACCCTCTGTTTGGTGCAACACTCCATATATACAATCCTAAAAACACATGCATATGAAAAAACTTGTTTTATGACATATGCTGCACAAACAGTGTCACTCTAAACACGTACGTCCTGTTTTAGCCAGAGGAATAAATTTGTCTGTCTACGGTTTCCATGACCTCAACTGTCCTGACTTCGCATTTCCACATGGTTAAGTTTGTCCCTCCCTCTCTCCAGTAGAATCTCTTCCGGTAGAGGAATCGTAGCTGAACTGTGTGTTAGCGGTTTCTGTGAAGGTCGTCAGCCCAACTTGTGAGTATTTCCCTAAAATTAAACTATTTAAATATGTGCATTGAATTTAGACGATAACGTTTTGCTCTTTCAGATGAATAAAGACTCGTTGGTTTTTATAATTGCCCTGAAAAGTCGCCGCTTTCCTTTAAAGTCATTGTCCAGTTAGCAGTTAGCTTTACGGAGCTAGCTAACGTTAGCTCAATGTGTTAGCTAAATGCTAACCCGAAACCTCGTTACTCGTATTAACTAACGGTGGAGCTGCGTCAGGTGTGATGTTTTGTTAATGCAGTCAGCCTCTCCTGAAGAGAGCAGAAAGCTTAATTACCGTAATACGAAGAGAGGAAGCCTTTACCACATCTTGAATGTTATTAGTGACTTTATGCTAACGCTACTGTGACCCTGTGCTGCTGCTGTTAGCGCTGCTCGGATTGTTCTTGCTGTTATATTTACTACTAGGTAGGTATTTTATAATGATTATATATATATATAATGTGTGATACCACAGTGTTGATTCAGGACACATGCTCCCGTCTAAGTGAAGTCACAGGTCACTCGATAGCTGCAGTGCCGACCTGACTTGGCAGCGGTGTTTGATGGCGGTCTGCCTTTCAGGAACACATTGATTAGTTATGTCTGCTATTATCAATATTTCAGGTTACATTGTCATCTACATGTCTAAAGAAAATACAAGGTAAAAAGGCAGTGTGATGCCAGGAAATAGTTCCTTCTCACATTTAATCTTTTATGTGTGTACTTAATTTCTATTATTGCTATGTCTTATATTTCTATCCTCATTCTATTAGTCTGTCCACATATGTAGGGTTTAGGTCAGAGCTGTGAGGTTGCTTTGTTTTCCTTTCTTGCCGTTCCTCTCAGTCTCTGTTCCACAAAACGTAGAAACCTGGACTATCTAAATGATTGTGGATCCCTTTGCTCTGGTCCAGACGCTCGAATCTGCCCAAGGTGGCATGTCTGTAGACCGGCTGGTGATTGTTCGAGTACTTCCTTGTTTCTTTTTTCTTTAATAAATACTAAAAGACAGCGGTGGTTGTAATTCTTTTATTTGCTCAACTCTCTCCTGAAAAATACACAATTTCTAGTCAGTATTTTGGAAACGAGCCTGTTTCCTTTGAGGTGTTTACATTAACTGACCTTTGGGCCAGAGTTTAATGTCAAAAAAGAAAATCTCAGTTATTTTTAATGCAGAAACTCATTATCCTTAATTTGGTGATATTCCGGGTGTAACTGTTGGAGCTATGTCGCAACATCCGATCTAAACAAGATGATATGATCTTTAGAAACATCATTAGTAATATGAAAGTGATGGCATCCATTGATCATTTCACTCAGGCATTAAGATAATAACTTTACTGTGTATGTTTACTGGACGCAGATAAAAGGTGTAATGAGCTGATTTCTTGATCATCAGTATCCCTGTCATGTTAATCGTTACGCTTTATAGGTTCATATTCCACATGATATGGCCTATAATATCACAATAAATCTCTCTGTACCGGTATACACATTTTGTCTAAAATAACATGCTCAAATAGTGCAAACATGATTATCTTATAGAATATGATGCATTGCTGTAAATTAAAGTACCCAACAGTATATGAAGTAGTTAAAATTGGCTCAACTTTAAATATCTACAGCTGTAAAATGGAAAATTAATGCAGCAGTAATATTAATCCAGACATCAGATATAATAGTAAAACACTGACAGGGACTGTTTTACTGCACAATGATGACTACTTTAGGCTTATTTTGCTGTAATCCTAACATACTATTACTGTAGTATTGTTTACAATGTAGATCTTGTACTTATATACTAGTGGAGTATTTGTAAAGTGAGGTTGGTATTAGTACTTTTGCTTTAGAAATGGACCTGAATATTTATTCCACCTCTCGTTAGCGCGCTCGCTCACTCACAACCTAACTGCACCTGTGTGTTGACTTCCCCTTTAAGGCCTTGAGTGTAACCTCTGTGTGACGGAGTCTAGTGGGTTTGTTGTGAAAGTGTTTATATAACGTTACTACGGCTCTTCACAGCAGAATTGGTCCAGGCAAGTCTATCTTAGTTTGGCCCAACTCAAGGGTTCTTTATTTCTCCTTCAGTCAGTTACATCTCGTAGCAGTTTGCATCAGAATGCTAATCAGGATATCAAGTCTGAGATGTTTTATATAAATGGGCACATTATTGAAATTGATGACTAGACAAAGTGGAAAATGTTGCTTTTGTGCTTTTCTAAGTTGTCTTTTTTTCTCCTCTGATGTAAAACTTTTGGAAATAAAAAAAAAAAAAAAAGTTCTGTGCTTAACAAAGCTTGACGGATACATCAGCCAGATCGATGTATCTGCTTCTAGTAGCTTATTGCAGGTATCTGTATCAGGGTTTATGTCGGCCGATACAAGAGACTGCGGTACAGAAAGCCCAAATAGGTTTATGGTCATTTAGAAATAGATTCCCCGTTACATACGTTCCCTGCACGTTCACTACTGGCTGATATGTAAATAATTGATATGTAACTATTTGAAACTCAAATGCTGATATCAGTCACAACTTTCCACCTCTGCTAGCTGTAGTCCACATTGAAATGAAATAGAAAGCAAACTTTGGTTTGACTGCACCATTACTCAGACTGAACTTGGGACAGCACAGATCTCCCAGATCCCCCAGATGGCACAGAAGAATTACACTAAGCTTGACTTTTCTCTCTGTTGTTTTTCCTTCAGGTGAATCCATCATGTCTCTGCCAAAGCCTGTGATGAGGGGGCTGCTGGGAAAGCGTCTGAGGTTTCATCTGCCCATTGCTTTCACTATGTCTTTATTGGCTGCAGTAGCCTTCAAGGTGAGAGCAGACACCGCCAAGTGGCTACAACCTTAAATCAGATGAAGCTGTTATGATTAAATGACACCTAATATATGTGGTGATGGGAACGCTTCAGTTCTGTTAACAATATCAGCATTATGGCCAACTTATAAGCTGGCATTCTGATTGTTTTTTAATTATACCTGCTTTGCATCTGCGTCGGACTTGTCTTCTCCCCACACTGAGACACGTACATGTACACCTCTGGTCGCTCACTGCAAACACACCAGCTTGCCCCACCTCTCTCTGTCGCCCCGTCTGCTCTAGTTTCTCCATCAGTAGTAGGCTGATGTTTTATGACGTTGCCTAAAAGACACAGAACTCATCTTTTTTGCAGAGTTTTCCACCTGCGATCCGTTATCATGGCAGCAGGTGTTACGTTAATGACGTAAATGACGGTTTCATTACATTTACGCATTTAGCTGACGCTTTTATCCAAAGCGACTTACAATTGCTGTATATGTCAGAGGTCGCACACCTCTAGAGCAACGAGAGGTTAAGTGTCTTCCTCAGGGACACATTGGTGGATGTATCACAGTGGGGAGGTGAACCCGGGTCTCTCACACCAAAGGCAAGCGTCTTATCCACTGCGCCATCACCGTTGTTTCATTGTAGCCATTGATGGAAATTATGTAGACATTGCCCAACCCTAGTGTTGACACAATTATTACAGACTGTAATGTTGGAAAAATGGTTAAATGTAATGCAGTCTACACATTCGCCCTGCAATAAATCCTGCCTCCGTGAAGCTGTTAATGAAATAAATTAGACTATGCACATGTACTTAACAAGATGTCAGATCTCAGTGTACACTGGACATTTTTGTCATTCAGAAACTCTACTCCACTAAAAAATAAAACTCAGTGCAACCAAATATTTCTCCAGTTACGAAAGTTTGTGTTGCACAAGATGAATGAGCCCAAAATTGTTCACGACACACACGTGTTTGCAATTTTACACATGCAGAAGTGTGTCCACATCTTTAGAAAAAGTTGTCTGGGTCACGTGCTGTGACCGGTCGTAGACCTTTGAGTCTGAGAAAACAAATGAAACGCAACACAAATCTGTTCTGTTATGGAAAATGTTAAACATCTTCTCTTAAAACTGTCTCTTCTATCTTGAAAGTTGGCTCTCTTTTAGGTCTTGATTTAAAATAGCAAATAACAAACCAGACGTGTCTTTTGTTCCCCGCAGTACACGGTGACAGAGCCCAGGAAACAGGCCTACGCTGACTTCTACAAGCAGTACGACGCCGTCAAAGAGTTCAACGCCATGAAGGAAGCCGGCGTCTTTGAGAGTGTGCGGCCCTCTGGAAATTAAACCCGCTGTAAGTGTTTTTATGGAAGAGGCTTGATTAATGGATCA